CGGAGGCCTTAAATGGAAGCCCCAAGGAGGACAGGCCTGCGTCTTCGCCGTCAGCCTCAGCCCGCAGCCCCCAGTTGAGCCGGAGGGGAGCTAAAGCCTTCATCAGCCTTTATTCTTGGCCTTCAGCTTGTCATTGTAGCGGCAGCCTTGAGCGGCAGCCTCAAGAGGACAAACCCGTGCCTTCGACTTCAGCCTCAGCCCGTAGTCCCCCGTTGAGCCGCAGTCTCAGGGAGGCCAAAATCTTGTTCTTGGCTTTCAACTTGAAGCCGCAACCTCAAGGGGGCTAGGCGGTCATCCTAGCCTTTGCCCCTCAGAGGTAGCCTCGAGGAGGAATGGCCGCTCCTCGCCTTCAGCTTCGGCCCACAACTTCGAGGGGGGGCCGAGCAGGCGTTATCTCAGCCTTTTGCCCTAAGCGGACGCCTAAAGATAAGAGAAAAAAGAATCGACAAGCCCGCATCTTCGCCCTCAGCCTCAGCCCGCAGCCCCCGTTGAGCCGCAATCTCAGGGGGGCCCGCGTTTATCTTGGCCTTCAGCTTCAAGCCGCAACCGCACGGGGGGACCATGAGTACAAGCCCATGCGCATTTTCGCGCTCAGCCTCAGCCCGCAAAATCCAGTTGAGGGCCAAAGCCCGCATCTTCGCACAGAGCCTCAGCCCGCAACCCTCAAGGAGCCGCAGTCTCAGGAGGCCAAAGCCTTTATCTTAAAGGGGGGCCGAGCCTTCCTCTTGGCTTTCCCGCGACCTCAAAGGGAGCCAAGCAGTTCTCCTCGCTTTGGGCCTTCGGCGGCAGCCTCGAAAAGGCCAAGCCCTCAGCGTCGCTTTTAGCTTCAGCCCAGCCTGCCGGGCGAGCCAAGCCTTTTAGCCTTCACCCGTAGCAGCAGCCAGTGGAAGCCAAAGCTTCGAATGTGGCCTGAAGCCCTGGACCGAAGCCTCCAGAGACCAAGCCGTGCTCTTAGCCAACTTGTCTGTAAGCCGCCGGTGGTAGGCCGTAAAATGAAGGGGGGCCAGGCCTCCCTCTTAGCTTTCAGCATGTTGCGGCAGCGTCAAAAGGGGCCACGAGCTTATATTCGCCTTCCGCCTCAGCCCGCAACCGTCAGGCGAGCCAAGAAGCCGAAACTTTTCATCTGGCCTGAAGATTTGGGCTGCAGCCTCAAGCAACCAGCCCTCATCTCAACCTGCGGCCTGGGCCATGAACGCGCCAAGCCCAGCCTGCGTTCCTCGCAAACGCGCAGCCCTTTGCATCAACCTCGTCCCTCCGCTGCGGGCGACATGCTCCCCAAGATGCTCTGACAGCTCGTGCCTGCCCTGACAGCTCCAGCCTGCTTCCTCGCCTCCTCGCACACCAGACCCATTGCACGGAGGCGTATAGAACTCGGATCTGCCCGGCGCCAGCAAGCCACGACGCCCAAGCCTGACAGCTGCGCGAGCCACGCCAAAACCGTTCACCACTAGTATCGTAGCCAACAGGCTGACGAGCCCTAATCAAGCCCCAAGCCCAGCGCCTGGCCTTGTATTTTGGCCACTCCCCTCTCTTCAGGCCACAGCCTCAGAGCTCGCCAAGAATCTACCCAGCCTCCCCAGCTAAGAAGCGGCCAAGCCCTCTTCACAGCCGAGCCGCATCACTGGCGCTACTAATAAGGGGAAGACTCAAGGAGGACAAACTTACGTCTTCGCTTTTAGCCTCAGCCCGCAGCCCCCAGTTGAGCCGCATAAGCCCGCGTCTTCACCTTGCCCGCAGCCCCCAGTTGGGCGCAGTCTCGGGGGGGCCTATCTTGGCCTTCAGCTTGAAGCCGCAACCTCAAGGGGGGCCAAACAAGCAGTATTCCTAGCCCTTCCGCCTTATGCGGACGCCTCAAAGAGAACAAGCCCGCGTTTTCGCTGTCAGCCTTAGCCCGCAGCCCCTAGCTGAGCCGCAGTCTCAAGGGGCCGGACCCATGTCTTGGCCTTCATCTGGAAGCCGCAACCTCAAGCCGCTATCCTAGCCTTCGGCCTTTGGCTTGAAGCCGCAACCTCAAGGCAGGCCAAACAGCTACAGCTATCTTGGCCACCGGCCACGGAGCGGCAGCCTCAAGGAGGACACTCTCTCGCTTTCAATCTTAGCCACCAGCTTTAGCCTGTAGCCCCCAGGGGGGCCAAGCCTTCATCTTCGCCAGCAGCCCGCTCTCCGGCTCAGCCCGCAGCCACCAGGAGCCACGCCAGTCTCTCTGCTTTCGGCCTGAAGCATCACATCAAGGGAGCCAAGCCTGTCCCTTGGCCTGAAGCCTTGGGCCGCAGCCTCAAGGAGGGCCTATCTCAGCTGAGCACGCGACGCCCATGGGCAGTGAGGAAAAGTCTCAAAACTTTTCAAACATCTGTGCAACGGGCAGGAGCGCAGGAAAGCATCGCCCAAGCCCGTCCCTTGGCCATGAGGTGTAGTCTCAAAGCTTTTGAGACATCTGTGCAATCACAAGGGGCTTCAAAATTGTCAGGCACCAACAGTCCAGCCACTGCGTAGAAAAATCGCCCTAGCGCGCGTGCGCGGCCCGCGACGCCAGCATCGTCATCTTGCCTGAGCTCTTGGGGGGGTTCAGGATGACACTGCCCACGCGCTGCACACAGCGATGCCATCTGTGCCTATGTGTTTTTGCCACCACTCCTTAGCAGCCTTAGCATAGACGCCTGTCCATTGGCCATGAGGTGAAGTCTCAAAACATTTGAGGCGATCTGTGCAATCACAAGGAGCCTCAAAACTGTCAGGCACCAATGGTCCAGCCACTGCTTAGGACAATCGCTCTAGCGTTCGCGCGCGCGGCCCGCGACGCCAGCCCGGCCATCTGGCCTGAGCTTTTGGGGGTTTAGGATGACACTGCCCACACGCTGCACACAGCGATGCCATCTGTGCCTCTGTGTTTTTGCCACCACTCCTTAGCAGCCTTTGCATAGACGCCCGTCCTTTGGCCATGAGGTGAAGTCTCAAAACATCTGAGGCAATCTGCGCAATCGCAAGGAGCCTCAAACTGTCAGACACCCATGGTCCAGCCACTGCTCAGCAAAATCGCCCTAGCTTTCGCGTGCGCGGCCCGCGATGCCAGCCCGGCCATCTTGCCTGAGTTCTTGGGGGGCTCATGACGACACACGCCCACGTGCGACGCACAGCGATGCCATCTGTGCAATTTTGCTACCGCTCACCACGCACTTTTGCCCTGAGAGATGGTGCCCCGCGGCACGTCCAACAACATGACGCAGGTGACTGCCTGAATTCGTGCAAGAACGTGCCAGTGAAGCCCACACGCACGATTTGACAGAGCCACCTCAGCCGTAGCCCCAACAACTCAAGCCTCTCACATCCGCTCCCGTCAAGCACGGAGATTTGATGTGCACCTCGCACACCTGCAAAAGTCGGCAAGGTCACCCTGGCCTCTGCCAGTACGCCGTGGAGCCAGGGCCTCCTTGACATAGCGTCCCCTGCGCAAGCCTAAGTCAGACCACACGCGGTGGGGGATGCCTGGCCTTAACTTCACTGGTCTGCCCTGGGCCGCTAAAGTGGGGGTATGCCGCCCATCAGGCCCGGAGGCCTCTCGCCTGAGGGGCCGCCGGCCTGATGCCAACTCGCCCAGAGCAGCACCCGTGAAAAGGACAGTGCGCAAGGGTTGGGCGTTGTTTCCCCTAGTCCCCCTCCCGCAGGGTCTTGGGATCTAGGGGTGTCGCACTACCCTTTCTTCCCCAACTAGGGTTAGGTCTTGCAGTGTGCGTTGTCTGAACGCACTGGGTTTTTGTTGTCCCAGGTGTTTTGACACGCATGAATCATGACCTCCCATGTTTGCCCTTGCCCAGCTGGCTCTTGGCTCAGCTGGCCCTGACCTAACCCTGTGAGTTGGGGCCTTGCATAGATCGTGAGCTTTTTTCGCCCGCCCACCCTTGCCCTGCGCATCACGATGCCAAACTCTCTGCACTTTCTGCAAGCGCCGCCGCTGCAATCGCCGCGACGCCTATTGCCTCCCAAAGTGGAGTAGCCTACACACACTGCCGCGCAATTGCCTCCCAAAGAGGAGTAGCCTAAGCCAAGCCGCCTTAGCACCCTCCAAAGAGGGGGTATGCCGCCCATCAGGCCCGGAGGCCTCTCGCCTGAGAGGGGGTATGCCGCCCATCAGGCCCGGAGGCCTCTCGCCTGAGGGGCCGCCGGCCTGATGCCAACTCGCCCAGAGCAGCACCCGTGAAAAGGACAGTGCGCATAGGGTTGGGCGTTGTTTCCCCTAGTCCCCCTCCCGCAGGGTCTTGGGATCTAGGGGTGTCGCACTACCCTTTCTTCCCCAACTAGGGTTAGGTCTTGCAGTGTGCGTTGTCTGAACGATGAAAGAAGTTCAAGTGTTCGACATAAGCCAAGGAGATGAAGAGCTGAACGAGTTGGACGAGTACCAGATGTGGTATGAAGAAGACCGACCAGAAGTCAAACAGGAATCGGTTGAGAATCCAAGTCCAAGTCCAAGTGCTCAAGAAGAAGATCAACCAGAAGTCAGACAGGAATCGATTGAGAATCCAAGTCCAAGTCCAAGTGTCCAAGAAGCAAGTAAGGATCGAGTACGAACGGTTCGGTTACCAGGGTATGAGGACTTGATCGAAGTTGTCCTAGACAGTGGAGCAGACTGCCATGTCTTGCCGTTAAGCTACTACAGCGAAGACCTCGGAGAAGTGGAACTTCCAGCACTGAAGATGGTCATCACGGATGCACAAGGAAATGCAATCAGAACGACTGAAGCAAGGACCAACATAACGTTCGAATTCCAAAGATCCGATGGAAAGGTGATTAAGGTCAAGGACACCGCCGTGTTTGGTCAAGTGACCCAACCGCTGTTCGCAGTGGGGAAGCTGTACAAAGTCGGATGGGGCATCGAGCCCCAGGATGCCTACAGCGCTTTCCTGACAAAGCTAGTGAAGCGGAGGAATGGAACGTCGGTATCGTATGTCCCGATAAGGTTTTCAAGAAACTCAACGGTGACAGACCTTAGGATCTACCGAGCGGCAATGGAAAATGGACGAGACGATGTGCCAATCTCAATCAGGAAACTTACTTTGACAAAGGAACTGAAAGATGACATAGAGAATGGCAAGTACGAAGAAGGTTGGTTTTATCTCACTGACGGACGGCCAGTGAGAATCGACTGGGACGTGAACACGACGTACAGCCTTGGACGAGACGAAGGAAAGGTGTTCAATTTCAGAACCACACTGAGAACGCGATACGAAGAAGAACAAATAGTCTGGGAAGAAATGGAATTTCATGAGTGTGCCGAGGAGTGGAGAGACAAAGGCACAACGGTCATAGTACCAGAGATCGAGAAAGCAGTGGTCATCACGATCATGGAAAGATTTCCGAGAAGTGTTGAAGATTACGGAGAGTACAGTAGTCCGTACAAGAGAAAGGAACCAGAAGAAAAGCGTGATGTGGAAATGGAACCACAAGAGCAGGACGACTTATGGAAAGGAAGATCAGAACAGGAGTTGCAGCGAGAGATTGAAAAAAGAATCGAAGAATTGGAACAAGCGCCAAGTTCTGGGGTTGCACCAGGACCGCATATGCAAGAAGAGAACGATGAGAGTGAGCGAAAGAAAGTTGAAGAACAACTTCCGAAACTTGGAGAAGCAATGAACGAGAGAATGAAGATCGGAGGAATCGAGCTTACACCAGCAAGTACGATAAAGCAGTTGAGAAATGCTTGCGAGTTCCTCAAGATAGGAAAGACAGGAAGTAAAGCTCAAATTTGGCAGAGACTGAAAGAAGCTGTAGCGTCAAACAAGATGAAGGAACTAGTCGAAATTTCGAAAGGACTAGAGGTTGAGTTCTCAAGAGAGCCAGATGGAGAGAAACGACCGGAAGCGCCGAGCGAAGAAGAAAGAAAGAGACACGAGCTGACACACTTACCGAAGGCAGACTGGTGTGAAAGTTGTTCGGCAACAAGAAGTAGAGAAGATGATTTCAAGATAACAGAGAAGAAGTATGAAGCGTCGTTGGTAAGCATGGATTTCAAGTTCACCGGAACGAGGAACGAAGAAGATGCAAAAGATGTGAAAGATGCATTGTGCATAAGTCTGGTCATGGTGGACCAAGAGACAAAGTTTGTCCACGCAATTCCAGTCCAGAGCAAGGAGGTGACAAACTATCTGGTGGAAGAAGTTTGCAGAGTGTTGATGCTAATGCAGCCGAAAGTAATCCTGAGGACGGACACCGAACCAGCGATGATTGCTTTGAGAAAGAAGGTGCAGACGATAAGGAAAATGCAGAAGCTTGAGACAGAGATCCAAGATGTTGCACCAGACACGCACCAAGGAGCGCAAGTTGAAAGATGGGTACAAACAGTGAGGAACCTATCTAAGACGTTGGTGTATGGAGTGGAGAAAGAAGCGAAGGTAAAGATCACGAGCGAAAGTACACTGTATCCATGGGCACCGAGACATGCAGCATTCCTACTGAACAGGTTTGTTGTACAACAGGGGAAAACCCCGTTCGAGTTGGTATTTGACCGTGAGTACAAAGGAACGTTGGTACCATGGGGTAGTGTGGTTGTGGCGAAACCACTACCGAAGACAAAAGAGAAAGGTGAAGCATGGAAGAAAGGAATCTTCGTTGGAAAAGATATGGTTTCGAACATGAATCTGGTGAGCACCAGAAGTGGAATCATCAAAAGTCGGACAATGAGACAATGTTCGCCAACGTTCGAAGTGGAAACATTAGCAAATGCAACTATAGTCAAGAGCAGTTGACAGGACGGTCGAAGCAGCCGAAGAGGCTACCGCCATCAAGTGGAATCGAAGTGGCGCCGATCGAAGGACCTCCAGTACAAGTCCCGAGAACTCCAGCAGTTGGTCTGGAGACACCACAGTATAGCCCAACAGCATCGGAAAGACCAAGTGATGCAATGGCATCTGATCCACCGACAAGTGATGATGATGACAATGACGAAGATCCCGGCGAAGGCCAAAGAAGTTCTGAAGCAAGCAGCAGGAAAGGAGCAGCGGCAAGGAAAAGAGATGAAGCAAGTATGACCTCGGGCGAAGCCGAGGAAGAAGAGCCGGAAGGAACGAGCAAAAGAGAGCTCGAAGGAGCGGCCGCAGAAGAACCTGAAGCCACAAGGCCGAGAGTCGACGAAGGAAGCGGACAAGTTGAAGAAAGACCTGAGAAGATCCAAAGAGGAGAACCTTCAGGAACGGTGAGAAGGATAATGGCCACAAGAAGTGTGCAAGAAGTTGCGTCATTCCTCAGGAAGGATTTGCCGAAGTACCATGACGACGAAGAGGTAGAGTTGGAAGAGTTTGAAGGATTCGAAGTCGAGTTTGAAGAGCCTGAAGAGGAAAGAAGCTCAGAGCTCGGAGAAGACGAAGAGTTCGAGGAAAGCATGCCAAAGTGGTCAAACAAGTTCGAAGATGGACCTCCGAAGTTGGACGAAGATGAGCTGACGAAGGTAGACGTTGTGTCAAGAGAGCACGAGATAAGCCGACTCACAGAGATGAAAGTCTTGAAAGAGCTGCCTGAAGGCACGAGTGTGAGCAACTACAAGTACCTCTCAACCAAAGTTGTCTACGATTGGAGGCATCGAGACAGTGAATGGCAACGGCGTGGCCGGTTAGTTGCCCGCGAGTTCAAATGGTTGGGGTCAACGGACATCGCATCGTTATTTTCCCCAACGGGAGTTGCGAGCACAGTGAAGTTACTCTCAGCAATGTTTGTGTCGTCGAATGACCACATCCTTGGAAGTATCGATGTAGGAGATGCCTACTTGATGGTGGAGCAAGAAGAACCAACAGTAGTCGAAGTCGATGGAAAGTACTATGAACTCGGATTCACGTTGCCAGGACAACGGATAGGATCAAGCGCATGGTTCAACAAGCTGAAAGGATACCTCGAAGAGTATGGACTCAAGTCCGACGAAGGACTACCAGCTTTGTTTTACAGGAGACAAGAAAAAGGAAAAGCTGGAATGGTTGTGTTATCGCACGTGGATGACATGGAACTGTACGCGACAGAGAAAGAGTTCCAAGGATTGATCGAGTTCTTGAGAAAGAAGAAGTTGAAGATCAAGGTCGAAGGACCGTTGCGAGAACAAGAAGGTTCAATGAGTTTTCTGAAGAGAGGATTCAGCGCAGTGAACGATGGAGACGTTGAGATCACGATGAATTCCAAGTACATCGAAGGATTGACCGAAGTGTTGGAGTTGGAAAATTCGTATCCAAAGAAACTGCCATGCCCAGCGGACAATGGAAGTGCAATGCAAGCGAAGAAAGGAGGAATGGACCCGCTATCGGAAGCGGATCATCACACGTACAGGAAAGGTGTAGGTATACTGTTGTACTTAGCGCCAGAACGGCCCGATTTGATGTACGTGCTGAAGAAACTTTCAACGAAGTTAGCAGCGCCGGTGGAAGCAGACATGGATCTGCTGAGGCACGCTGCGAAGTATCTGAAGGGTACACCCGACGTGTCGTTGATACACAAGAAGAGCTACCCAGGAAGAAGTTTCATCGAAGAGCGAAATGAGAGAAAAGATGAAGAAGTCGAGAGAAATGTCTATGAGCAAGAGTCACTGTTGGAGATAGTGACGGATTCTGATTGGGCAGCCGACAGAGAGTCAAGGCAAAGCGTGTCGTGTGGAGCGATCATGCTGAATGGAAATCTGATTCATTTTCAGAGCAAGCGGCAGAAGAGCATAGCTCTCAGCTCATGCGAAGCGGAGACTATCGCCGCAACGTCAATACTTTCTGAAGGAGTGTTCCTGAAAGCATTGTTGACGAGAATCCTCGGAAAAGAACCAAAGATGGTGATGTATTCAGATTCGAGCAGTTCAAGACAACTGATTGCTCGGAAAGGACTGGGGAAAGCCCGTCATCTCGACGTTGATCTGTTATGGATCCAGAGTATCCCGAGATTGATCATCAAAGCGATTAAAGGAAAGGACAACCCAGCTGATCTGGGAACAAAGAGCCTAAGCAAAGACAAGATCCGGAAATACATGACAAGCCTCGGATATGTAGGAGAATTTGTGGATCAAGAAGAAGTTGAAAGGAATGTACAAGTGCGACGAACGAACGGCAATGGCCGAAGCGGCAATGGCCGAAGAATGAATGATGAGCGATTGGCGAAGATCATACAAGCTGTAACGATGGCTGTGTTGATAGGAATGGGAGAAGCCAAGAAAGCCAAGGAAGAAGACCAAGGACCGGGAATAGTCATGTGTATCATGATTGGTTGTGTGACATGCATGGTCTGTTGCACAGTTTATCCCGCAGCCGTTTTCTTGCTCAAACGAGTAGGAAAAGAGGAAAAGAAGAAAGAAAGGAGAACGATGGAAGAAGAGAAGACCCACGAGCAAATGATGGAAGAAAAAGTGGAAGAGTTGAAGGAGATGAAGACAGGAGCCGAAGAGCGCAGGAAGAAGTTACTGGAGAATGCTCCAAAAGAAGAGGAACAGGCTGAAGAGCCAAAGGAAGAGTCCAAAGAAGAACTGAAGGAGGAGAAGAAAGAGAAGAAAGAAAAGAAGAAGGAGAAGGATTCGTCGTGCAGTGATTCTGCAAGCGAGTCATCTTCAAGCGAGTCAAGTTCGAGCGACGAGAAAAAGGAGAAGAAAGCAGAAAAGGACCAGAAAGAAGACAAGGACCAGGAAGAAGCCAAGAACCAGGAAGAAGTCAAGAACCAGGAAGAAGTCAAGGACCAGGAAGAAGTCAAGGACCAGGAAGAAGTCAAGGACCAGGAAGAAGTCAAGGACCAGGAAGAAGCGCCTGAGAAGGAAGGAAAAAAAGGAGGAAGAGGCCGAGAAGGCCGACGACGATGAAAGATACGTCCTCCTGGCAAAGGAAGGCCTATGGCCAACGATCTTAAGCTCAATGCAGCTGGACGAAAGGGGAGCAAAGATGCTCGAAGAGACAGGGATCGATGGCGACGCCCTAAGGTCCGAAGCGACGCAGAGAATGTTCCAAGAGTTCAAAGAGACGATGGAGAGTCCAGTCGTGAAGATTCCAACGGGATATGGAACAAGGGTGCAACAATGGTTGGCAGCCCTGAAGGAGCAGGAAGAAGATGAGAAGGACTCGGACGAGTTGATGTACGAAGATGTCGCCAATGCAGAAAAGGAAGCGGAAGATGCCGAACGGGCATATGGCGAAAAGTACCGCGAGGTTGAGAAGATGATGGAAGAGTGCAAAAGCCTTAAGTCCACGATGCAGAAGAAGAAGAAGGAAGCTGAAGGACATTTGGCGGAGTACAATGAGTTCAAGCACTCGAGAAGAATGCTGAGCGTGGTAAGGATGCTTGTAGAGACAAGTGAAGAAGTGATGAAGTGTTTGGTGGAAGCATCGCCAGACTACGGTCGGATTTTCGAAGAAAGACCGAGAGTGTCCTTACTCGAGCGAATGCGCAAAAGGAAATTGGCCGAAGGAGCCAGCGAGGCAGAGTCAATGGCTGCAGGCTCGGAAAGGCAGGTGAAGACAAAGGCAATGCCAAAGCCGTTGAAGATGCGCAAGGAGATGGCAGAAGTTGTGCAAGTTGATGATGCCATCGAAGAGAAGAAGGATGAAGGTGAAGGAAAGGAGAAAAAGAGAGAAGATGACCTGAGCAAGGTCAACCCAAGGTGGCTTTTGAAGTCAAGTGAAAGGAGCACCCGAAGCGAAAAGGAGACGGGAACGCGCCAGCCCGGATGCTTTTTCTGTAAGGGATCGCATCGTGCGATCAAGTGCCAAGAGATGCTGGATTTGGCAAAGGAGATCACGGGAAAAGTCCCAAGTCTCGATTGGCGAGAGAAGGAGAAGCGTGGTCTGTGGTGCAAGTGGTGCTGGTACACAACAAAGAACCCGTCTGAGCATACGGGGTGGGGAAGCCACACCCACCAAAGGTGCTGGTACCAGAAGCAAGGCCAAGAGGTTGAGGCCAAAGTCAAAGCCGAGAAGGAAAAGGCAGGAGCAAAGGAAGTCAATGATGAAGTCCAGAAGATGGTGGATATGAGCGAGAGACCTGCCGAGCCAAAGGGAATGCCACCGAATCCCCAATGGGGGTTGGAGACGCTCAAGAAGAGAAAGGAGCCAGAAACGCCAGGACCAACCGTCGAAGAAGTCCAGACAAGCGATGAAGAAGCGAAGAAGAAGCAAGCAAAGGAGAACATCAAGAAGATCAAGAGAGAAGAAAGGAGAAAGGAACGTGAAGAGAGAAAGAAGGCAAAGAAAGAAGAGAAGAAGGCAAAGAAGGAAGAAAGGAAAAAGGCCAAAGGAAGCGAGGCCAAGGAGCCGACAGCCGAGATCGACAAAGAGGATCTGTAAGCGCTGAAGATCTGAGAAGGATGAGGGCGAAAGCCCAGGATTCTGAGGGCAATGGCCCAAATACCGCATTTTGCGAAGACCGAAAGGTAGAAATCAGTTTCACAAACAATTCGTTTCACCAAGCCAATGGCGAAAATGGAAGGTGCTTTGAAAAGCAAAGAGACAATGCAAAAGCCGCTTGTGAGAAAGGCGTGCAGTGGTCTCGTGTTTCAAAAGAAGCTACGAAGAATTGGTATGATGGTTTTGTTGCAAGCCACGGAGCACCACGAACGAAAGCACAAGTTTCAAAGAAACGAAATGCTGAGTTACTGCTGGACTACGACGAGCTCGACACTGGCGAGAAAAAGTGAGTGCAAGCAGTAGAATCGATTTGGTGCACGTAGAGTTGCAGTTGCACAGAAGTGTTTCAATTTGCTCCAGGAGCCAAAGAAGAAAGAAGAAGGTTTACCCGAAGGGGTATGAGAAAAAGGAAGGATGGGCTCAACGGAGCATGAGAGAAAAGTGAGAAGGTGTTTGAAAATCGTTTCACCCAACGAGTTTCAAAGAGGGCGTAACAAACATTTCACTTTTCATGCCCGACTGTATATAGGCTCAAGCACCGCCCCTCGTGGAGCGCCGCGAGTAGAGAAAAGTGTGAGGAGAACTTGTGTTCTAGGAAAGGTTAAGAGTAGCCTTTAAACTTTTACAGGCGCTCGTCAGTGAAGTGCTACCGGCGGAGGTCATGAACCGTTTTGCCCAGGCCAAGGCGGATTGGCTCAAGCTGTCCACGCTGACAGACGAGGAGCTCTGGGAGAAGATCCTTGAGACGGCGGTGCACCCACAGACCCACCTGACCGAGCTTATCCCCGGCATGTCTCGCAAAGTCCTGGGGGTCTTTCCCTTGACTGGAAGGCTGCAGGTGGGCAGCCGATCACCCAGCGTGCCTGGCTGAAGTGGTTCATTGCCATGGCGAACTTTGCCAATGACTACTGCTCGGATGCCAAGTTCCCCAGCCTGATCGCCTTGAAGCTGGAGTGCGAGAAATTCTGCAAGTAGACGAGGTGCCCAGAGGCCGTGGCCAAGGCTGGTCGCGGTGCGCCGAGTTTTGCAAGAAAAGGCATGCAGGTGCCGTGGCTGACCGATCGTCCTCAGGATGTGGTTAGTTGCGGCGACGAGCTAGTCGGCAGCGCGAGGAAAAGTCAGAAGGTACGTGCAGTGTGGTGTGCGTCCGTATGTGTTTGACGAGAGCAAGGGTTGCGCAAGGGAAGTCGCTACCAGGTCGTTGTGCTCTTAGCTTGGGCAGTACTGCCCATGAAAGAACAGGTCCGCTGGTAGAAAGTTTGCATGTTTCGAGTGCCACCAGTCGTAGGGCAAGCAGGGTCGAAAGGAATCGGCCGCTTGGTTTTTGCTCCGCGGCATAGAGGTCGCTAACATCAAGGGCGCCGACATTCGGTTTAACAGAGAGGAGCGGTCGATCACTGTGCGCCTGCCGGCGTCCAAGACAGATCTTGAAGGAAAAGGTTGTTTTCGGAAACATGTTTGTGTCTGTCGGCCTGTACACGAGCACAACTGTGCGGACAAGTGTTCGCCTGCAGTGATGTTTACTCGCTTGCAGAAGTGCAGCTGCCGAAGAGGTCGCCACCCACTGTGCGTTTTCCACAGCTTGCTCGCTTTGGTCGTGAGACAAAGGTTGCAGGGGTCGTACGACCCAGAGCGTCCGCTCTTTGGCAGAGGTTCGTGTCCACCGACACAGAGGCAGCTTACTCAGCTAGCACGAGCGTGCGCGTTCGCGCTCCAGAAGGAATCCCTCTCGGAATGGAGTTCGGCCATGCTCGAAAAATGGTCGCAACATTGCTTCCGAGTTGCCGGAGCGCAGCTTTTCGCAAGAGCAGGGATACACTTGGCAGTGATTCAAGTGATTGGTCGCTGGGTTCCCTTGCCATCCTGCGTTACGTGCAGGAGTCAGTTTTTGTTCCGGGGTGCTTGTATGGCCCAACATAACGGGCCCTCTGAAAGGCACGTGAGGCGACCTTGGATGAGCCTTGTGACCCACAAGGTAAGGGAAGGGAGAGCGCCGGCTCCTCCCCCTTATCTCAGCCCTCAGGCTGAACAACCGAGGCCCACGAAGGGACTGCAAGGCTCGGGAGCACAACCAGGAAGTAGTAAAGCAGTATCTCATGTTAGTATCGTGTTGGGGGAACCGAGCAGGGGTGATTTACAGCAGGAACTACCAGAGGCTGCACAGCACTGCAGTGCAACCCAGTTGCCTCAGCCTCCTGGCTTGGCGGGGGCTTGACAGAACCTTCGCTCTCAAGGGTCTCAAGCGTTCGCTTTCGTTTGCCGCTGCGTCGCAGTCTGCTTGAGACAGGCATTGGCGGGTCGAGCACCTGCACAATCTGGAGCGGCCAAGACTTCAAATGCCCAGCTTGTTTGGGGGGGACGGCTGCAACAACAGGTGCAACAACGCTCACGTTTGAAGCTCCACATTGCGTGCTGAGGTCTTCCACGACTCAACTCTTTCTACGAAAAGATCTGCTGCCTAGGCCACCCTGTCCCTTGGCGATTTCATTTTCTGCTTTGCTTAATCAGCGGCAGGGCTGACGGCGTGGGCTTACGAGATGCTTTGGACCACGCCGGTCTGCTGTCTCTGATGCTTTCTTCTGGTTGAGTCTCATTCGGCTTCCGAAGATATGGCTCAGCTTCCGTGATAGTCGGGTTCACATCAGGAAGTCCGAGCCCCACGACGAATCACTGGTTGCTGGAAGGCCGGAAGCCATGTGAAGCTGCCCTAACTGTGAGGGCGGCGCAGCACCGACAGATCCTGAGTGAGGACAAGGTGCGACCAGACTCTTGCCATCCCCAGCGTGTTACGACTAGAAGTTTTTGAGTTTTTCTACAAGAAAACGTAGAAAAGTGAGATATTTTCACCATAATAGTTTATATAAAGTTGGATTAGATAGGGGGATGGGGCAACGGAACATTCTCTGAATGTTTATCGACATCCGCCGGCTGTCAGGAGTTTTTGGTCGCACCTCTCGGAAAGCGAGGTTTAGGGTTCCGCCGCAAACTGAGGACAGCAGGACGGAACGGAGCTTGAGATGCACTTCACGGACCCTGACCTACTGCCTACATGAGACATCATGAGACCGGAGCCCTCCACAAGCCCCCTTCAAATCTCCGAAAGGAGCTCCTGCAAGTCGGATGCACGCCAGAAAATGGGCGGATGTCCTCCAATGTGCACCTTTCGGACCTTTCGGGTGAACTGCGAGCTGGCAAGGCCCGTTTCTTTCGGCTTGACACAATGCATCGCAGGCTGGCCGCACGGGCCGGCCACCGTCCGCTTCAGGCCTGCACACGCGATCGGCATTCTACCCAAGATCGTGTGAACTCTGCGCGCAGGTGCTCCTTGTGGATTACTTCGGGCACCATAGCTACTTGCCACCAGAAGTGACTCCTTCACTTCAGACTTGCACACGGCATTCTACCCAGCATCCCGTGCCGTGCGGCCTGGCAGGTGCTCCTTGTGGATTACGGGGCTTTCCTGCTTGGCGAGGGCCACGTCTGTCTCACTGCGCACACGCGGCCAACCTGAACGGCGTGGAATGGATTTCCTGCATACTCGGCCCTAACCACTTGTTAACCCCCCCCCCCCTTAAAATACAATATGCTCCTGGGAATCGACAGTGCAGCAAAATGTATGTTTGGTAGGTTGATTACGTTCGTCTTGGGAGTTTTTTTCTTCCAGTTGTAGAATTGGCAGACACATCAGCCCCTGGATAAACATATTTCCTTAATTTCCTTAGAAGTTCGAAACATCGTGTGCACATTTTTTGGACAGCGTCCCTTACCGAAGCCAAGGCTCTTAGAAGTCTTCAGCTGAGTTCTGAGCCAAGGAGCTGTGTGTCAAGGAACGTCCTCCGTACCCCATAAGACCCCCCTCCCAAACAATTTCCGGGAGCCCGGATTGTATGCCGGCTACCTAGGACCCTTATCAGAATACATTAGTTTGACCCGGGTATCTTCCTGCCGCAAACTGGCTGAATGACCAAACTGCGACACACGTGCAGATGGCACGCCGTGTGGTCATGCTCTGGCGAGCAAAGCCCCACACGGCTGAAGTGCAATCCAGTGGACGAGCGTTCTCAAGATCGTGCTGTGCCAAACTCTTCCTTCTGCGGGCGGCGCGCCAAAGCAGGACAGAAAAGAGAAACGCCTCAGCATACCCTGTTTGGCACAAAAGCGCCAGCCGCATGACAGGCACGCAGACTGAGACTGAGACTGAACAGTAACAGCCACCATACCTCAGCACCTTGACCTCACCAGACACCTGTGTCCTCGATGCGGCATCTAGGCAGATTTTGCGAGGCGGGTCTTGCATGGTCTTGCTGGCCGCGCCGGTTCCAGTAACCTGTGAAGGATGCACTGATGCACGATCACGGACGATCACGGATCCGAAAACCCGCCGTCTCCCCGTCGCAACACAGCCCGTTCTCTGAAGGGCCACAGTCCTGTTGCAGCCTCCTGGTCGGCCTGCAAGGCTTGAAAGGCTTGAAGGTGCGCGGAAAGTGCCACCAGCCAGGCATTCGCTAGCACTCTGCGCAGTCATTCCGGCGTTGCCAAGCCTTGAGCATTCCGGTGCCGGCAAACGGCTGAAGGACTGCTCGCGCAGCAAATCTTCCCAGGCTGCTATTTGCAGTGAGCGCCTGATTGAAGCAATTTGAAACATCCATGATATTCGCAAGACTTGTTGCTCCAAGCAGGCGCTGACGATCCTGAACAGGCTCATGCTGTACCATGCTGTACCTAAACAGTATGGCCGAGTTCCGCTTGCGCAAGACTCATGCATTGATCAGCTGACCGTGCAGGTCGGAGTTACGGTGCATGACATCGGGTGCGAGAGCATGGCTAGGCTTGCTGTTCTGGGCGTGTTGTTGGGCATGCTGCTGGAGGCGCCCCTCTCGCAGTTCACAGAGCGGCAAGCCAAGGGCCAATTCACAGCAGACAAGCCACAGCCATCCACA